AAAAATCAAATGAAGTAATTAAAATTTCATGAAACTTACTTTTGTTTCTGGAAAAAAAATTAAGAAAAACTAAATGATCCACATTCTCCCTTACCACTTTTTTCACTCAAGTTACAATATTTGCAGTCAAAAACTCTAAACATGTTAGTATCCTCACTTTTAAATTAAAAAAGAGTTTGTAGGTCCTGAAGAATAACATGTTAAAGAGATAAAAATCTTTCTGGTCTTGATTAGCTGTCTGAACACACAAACTGAAACCTTAAGAAACCTTATATTTCTAAAATAGCATGCTGGCTATAGCAGAAACATCCACCACAGTACACAAGTTTGTTAGACCATGAGATTCACATTAACTCTACAAGCCCAAGTGCATTTGGTTCTACACCTAGCACAGCACTAAAATTTAAGCAACTTGATGTCTTCTCACTAAAAGTTGCAGATTAACTACAGAGTTACAAAGAATAACTAAAAATTCACAAGTAGTCAAAAGTATAAATTAAACATAGGTAGCATCACTGTTCAAGTTGGAACAAAGTGAAGAGGTGCCAGATAAGAAGGTCTCAAGTTTTCTCTGTAGTTTGATATTTACAAACATACAGATGTTATCTCTTTCCTGGGCCCCTTTCAGCCCTGACAAACTACAGATGCTGTAATGTATTGTGCATACATTTTTTTAATGCATGCAGGTCTACTAGCTTATGTTTTTTATGACCTGGACAGCCCTCCTGACTAGAAATTTATTATACCAAAATGTGTCCATCCCCTCCCATGATAAGACAATTGTCTTCCCAATATAAAGGCCGTTTTTAATAACCAGCTTTAATTGGCCATTAAATGCCAGCTTTTATTATTTATTACACAAAAAAATTTCCTTTGTTACAGACCAGAAGTCAATAGAGTAACTAACACACTCCTAAGATACTGTAGCCACAGAGTTTTCAGATAATTAGACTCTTAGCTGCTTATTCCATCTAATTTACTTATTATCCAGTTACAAAATACGAAGTCAAAACTCTTCCATTGCTAATTTGTTAGCATTTAAATATCAAACTAGAACACTACAGGCATGTTTAGACATATCCACAATGCAACTATTCAAGTTTACTCTTTAAGAGTATAAACAAAGCAAGCACTTTTTCCACAGCATTAAAATAAGATATCCTTAAATTCTTTTGCATCCTCTTCTTGGTCAGAAAGATTTTTATAAGTATATATGTGTATGATCAAAAGTTTTTTACTGTTTAATGACATGCATGAGCACATGTAGAAAAACAACACCCAAGCTTAGGAAATGCGAAGCTGATCAGAGCATTGGAGAACTCGACAACATGTGGTCAAATCTTCAGGACCATAGGAAAGCCATCCTGTTTGCTGGCCAGAGTTGCAGGCAGCCTCGAGTCAGACCCAAACTGGCTCCTTATTATCTCAGTATCATGCACAAATACTCTAGGTTTTTGTGTACAAAACCACACCCTAATATTTGCTAAAGCACTCCTAATCTTACAGTGGGTCTTCTGCCACGGAGAGAATGCCAGCCTCAGCCATTTGTATGCAGATAACAGTTGTCAGAGGTAGCACAGATCTCTTTTTCTTGAAGAACAAGATACGTAAAGTCTAGGGAGATGCTCAAAGTAAAGTATGCCATAAAATACTTATTTTTTACAGGTCACAAGCAATGTGTGCAGGAAGTATTACATTTATGAGACTATCATCTCAAAATGAGACTTTAATAGAAAAGACTGCTGGACAGGGAAGCCAGCTTAAAAGAACAAAGTGAAAAATGACTCAACCAAGTTCTCAAAGAAAAAGAGAAGAAAAAGAAAGCACAATTAAAAAAAGATAAATACAACTGGTCAGAGCCAAATTGACTAAAGCTGTAAGCCCAAGGACAAATACGATTATGATGAACAATAACTCAGTAAAAGAGTAAGAGGCAACACTGACAGACACAGCTTTAATGAGCTCCAGATGGAATAGGAATGATGCATTTTCACTAAAAAGATCTGACTTCAAGTCAGTCAGCTCACTGCAACCAACACTAAATGCAACCCAAAGCAGTTCACTGTTGTCATCCATCTTAACCAGCTTGTAAACCCATGGCTCTGTGGTCTTTATTTCAACTTGTAACCTGTGGTTCATTTAGCACTAATCAAGCAGAACATCCCTCCTCTCCCTCTGCAAGAAAAAAGGCATTAAAAAAATCCCAGAATAGCCTTTAGGATGAGTATCTTGAGGCCCAGAACAAGATAAAACAACCAAGGGAAGTTTATCCAGTCACAAGTCCTAAACGAAGCATTTATCATAGATGCAAACAAAAGTTTTGTCCCAGTTTGTGTGTAAGTAATTATACACCGCATATAGAAAAACAGCAAAGCTACCCAGCATATTTTTCAGTCCCTGCTACCGTAAAAACCAGTCGAAAGAGTTTCTATAGTCCAACTCAAACAACCACTAGTAAGTCACATTAATGTAGTGTAACATGATCAAAAAACAATAGTCCATTGCTTTACAAATAAAGCTAATTTTTCTTTACAAATATGGTGTTGTGTAAAATAAACAATAATGCAAATCACTTTCTCCCTATTTCTTAATTGTCATCTTCACCCATCCACGGGTATACAGAACTATGTTCTACCTTATCAATTTAAGCTGTCAGCTCCAAATTACAAACAGTAATTCATGAAGTTTCTAGAGGACCTATTGCAATGATGTCAGAATTAAGTGGTAGTAGGTAAGACAGCAACAACTCGCCTTCTTTCATATTTGACAGAAAGAAAAGGGAAAGAGTGCAGAGATGTCAATCTCTCAGAGCAAAACTTTTGTCTCAGAACACACTCAGTTCAACAATACTACTTTAAACAGAAAGTCACAAAAATGACATTTGGAAAAGAACAAACAGCACCTTTTTGCAGGGGTGTGAAACAAAAATACACAAGCAAACCCCCCAAAGCAAACAAACAAAACCCTCAAAGTCAAGTTAATGGAAAAGGGGCACTAGCCTCTCCTCACCTTTCTGACCTGTATTTTGCAAGGTTCACAAACTGCAACAGATTGCAGAAATGCAAACGCAGCAGGAGAGCAACTGGGGTAAATACAGTGAAAAAAGCAAAAGGGTTTCCTGCCTGTTAGAATAAGCTAAACTAAATTATCACAAGGCTCTCTTCATCTGTGCCACCGTGGCTATAGAGAACATCAATATTAACAACAACCTGAGTAGACCAAGAGCGCGTGAGTGAAACCAACCATTCCCAACAGTTTTGCTCTGCCAGGGTCTGTCTGCACTATACTTACAGCACACAACTACTCTACTCTACTCTGAGGGCTTCTGCACATATGAGTTTTCACAAACACCACTGGATTCAAATGAGGAGGTTTTCCCCTTAAAAACTTGATTTATTATTAGTTTTACCTACAATTAATTAAAACAAACCAAAGTTATTATGGGTTCATTCCCATTTAAATTCATATAATGGGTCTTCAACTGTAAGGGAGAAACCTTCCCATGCAGACAAACTAAAAGCAAATTAGTCCTCTTCATCATCTCCTCTTAGTATGGCATTCTTTTATAATATACCTTTATGAGATTACTAGTACTTCGAAATACTGTATCAATAAATATCTAAAGAATTAAACTCTTCTGAGAGAGTTTCAAGTTGTTATCCAAATTACCTGTGAACTCCACAACCTACTACCTATTTTCCAGTTCTCTGCAGGGCAGGCAGGCATATAGCTGTGCCCTGTAAGTGCATGAAAGTGCAGTTGTTCCCGGTTATTTATGCTCTAGGGCAGGAACAAAGCAATCTAGGGCAACACAATCTGGAGAAGTGCAGGACTCGCTAACAGGACAGATGGTATGCGAAACTGATATAAACATCGGCTTTCGGTAGGAAAGTTGGCACACGGCTTTTTGGGAAAGATGAGGAGTTAAAAAAAAGCACCATAAGAGTGGACTACTTATAATCTAGGGAAGTTTTGTTTATTTCATCTACAGTTCCTCAACAAAGTACGAGCTCGTTCTCTAAAAAAGCTTCCGCAACTTTTTAAACTGGAAGATAATAACGAATTAGGAAAAAAAACAAACAAAATATAAAAAGCAGGATAGTTTCTCCGGGGCTGCAAAATAAAGCCGCTCTAGTTCCGCCTCCCCCGCAAAGCGTAGCCGAGAAACAGCCACCGCTCGGCGGCCTTTTGATTCATCTGCGAACAATGGCAGCGCTTCCCCTCCGCCACGGCCAGGAAGGGGCCGCTCTCCCATTGCATCCGGGAGGGTCCTGTCGCCGAGCCGGCGCGGGAGAGCCCTCTGGAGCCGCCCCTGAAAAGGAAGGGAGGGCGGGAGGCAGGAAGAGAGAAAGGCGGGGAGGGAGAGAAGGCGCTCAACCCCGGCGCGCCCAGCCCGCCAAAGCCGGCCCTGAGCGCGGCCGGGCGCGCTCCCCGCCCCGCGGGCCCGACCCCGGCCCCGCGGCCCGGCCGTGAGGC